GCCTTAGCTGTTCGCTACAGCTAGACTAGGCCAGTCTAGGGCGACAAAATCCTTCAGATGATCATACAAGAATTTCACATAGTCATTTAATTCTTCAGATGACAAAACTAGGGTTTATATTATTTCCTTGAAACGATTACACAGAGGTTCAAGTTTACCCTATACTATGCCTCTAATAGGCTAAACCACTTGTTACTATTCACATTACTACTTCATAACTTGATCTTCGGGTATCAAGTCTTTACTTCTACTTCCTAGCGTTGTTATTTGCTTCGTCAAGGATATTCTGAAATTCCCTTGGCGTTGGCAGTGCACTTGGCCTTGTTATTTCATTTTTCTTCAGACAATCCTTAGAAATATGGCCTTCTTCCTTACATCTGTAACACACCCCCTTGGGAGTCGTACACTCATTGGCGTAATGCCCAATTTCTCCACACCTAAAGCAATTCACCTTCCTGCCACAATTCCCAGAGTGTTTATTTTTGCACTTCCCGCACCATTTTCCTTTACCTCCTCTTTTGCCAGACTTTGAGAATATGTTGCTCTTTTTGGGTCTTGAAGACCCCTCAAATTTCCTCTTCTTGCCAACTTCAACCTTGTTGGCGGTCCTGTCATTGATCATTTCTTCAATAGACCTAGCAACCCAAATAGTTGCCTCAAGAACAGATGCCTGACGTACTGGCACAGTAAGTTCATCCTTACTTTGTTGAAGTAAACGTTTTGTTTCTTCCATCTGTTGATCCAACATCGTACGCACCATTGCCTGCACCCCAGCCATCGTGACTGGCTCAGGCTGCGGATTATCGTTTCCGAATTCACTTTGCGTACTCGCCATTTCGATCTATACACCAATCGTAGGTGATTTTAGATCTTTATTTTCGATAGATGTTAAATCTTCGTTATTACTCCGAAACGTTTATATGTTAGTTCTAATATCGTAGTCATACATTTAGAATCCTACACACATAAGGTTCCCAGATCCGGTCGGCAACAGACCATAGATCCGAACAAATGACGGCATATATGGCAAACATATAGCATTTAGCACATAAAAGCATTTTAGGCATCTTTCCTAAAATAAACTAGTGCTCGTGTCTAAAATATGGTAGACACTCATCTCACAATCATCACTTAGCATTCTAAGTTTAAGTCTAGAAATCCTATAATTTCTTAGTTCGCTTAAACTAATGCTCTGATACCAACTGTGACATCCCCTAATTTCTCGGCCAGAAAAGACCGATTTATTTTATGCTTTTTAAAATAAAATCAGAGTAATCCTTTTAAAAGATGTTGCGGAATTTGTTCCCAAAACCAAACATGATAAAAATTTATCAAAACCTTTCTTTAAGAAATATATATTTTTATTTCATATCAAAACCTCGGGATGTCATGTTCCGATACAGATCAAAAGCATAAACAAGACATTATAAGCCTTACAACAATTATTTACAACTACTAGCCTATAATCCAAAAATCACTCATCATCATCATCCGACTATGCTCGGGATCCACTACCTGTAATATAAAAAGCTGAGTAGGTCAGGCTTGGAAGCCTGGTGAGCATATAGGGTTTTCAACCCACAATAAATAAATTTATTATACTTAAACATCAATCAATCAACCAAATTACCCCAACCCCATTATCTTATTTATTTCTTAAGGATTTACCCTAAGATTCAACCATCACTCACTCCTAAGGATTCATCCTAAGGAATAGGCACGGAGTCACATCGTCTCCAGGGATTATACAACAGACACTAAATCCATAGCTGCCAGGGTTTATACAACATGCACTAAGTACATAACTGCCAAGGTTTATACAACATGTGCTAAGTCTATAGCCCTTATTTATCGACATTATTATTCACAGGAATCTCCCTGTCATACATGTCAATGGGTTTTTAGAGTACGACTGCTGAACATATAGTTCACACAGTTACAGGTTGCGAGCCTGCTAGTGTTCCACAGATCATCTAGAATAGTCCATGGTTGTCATCCATACTCTGCTGAATGACGGGGGCCACGTTTGGGTAAGAGCTTTTCTCATATTTCACCACTCACCCTCAACTCATGATCTATATCACTGATCATCTCATTCATCCAACTCACATTTCATCACACATCCACTATTTCATCTACCCATGTTTTACCCAACATTTTTTGTAGATAAAAATACATATACAGTTTAAATTATTTAAAAACCTGTATAAATCATTCCTTCAACATCCATCTCAAATAAACAAACATTATATATTCACACAATACGTATTTTATATAAAATACTTCATATCTATGTGTAAGGTGAAAGTAACTACACACTCACTTGATTTAGTGATAATCGGGCAGCACTTCGTTTCCTAAAACGATCGTTTCTAATAAAATCGGGAGTTCTATTGAGAAACCGGGCTCTGCAAGGGTCGGGCTTCGAAACCGAAAAGAAAATTTTCTCGGGCTTCTCGGGCACTTCGGGACGTGTTTCGGGTGCTATAATTGATACCGGGGCTTCGGGGGATGTCAAGATAGTAAAAATATTGAAAAATGGGTGAAAAGGGACAATTTTCCAAAATTACCCGGGAGGTCTCGCACCCTTCTATTGATAGGTGCGAGGCTCCTGATCGGACGGCTGGGAGGAAGCCACGCGGCAGCATATGCGAAGAGTAGTCACATGGCTCGCACATGTGAGGGTTCTGCCGGAGACTTCTGATTGGACCGAAGTCTAGGGTCCGAGGAGGGGGTTCGTGGCACGCCTGCGAGGTTCGGATACGTCAGGAGGAGGCACGCGTCGGACTCCCATTGGACCGAAGTTCGGATGCGAGGGCAGGCGACACGCCTCGCCAGGTGGCCCCGGGTGACTCAGCAGTTCGGACACGTGGCACGTTTTGAGCGAGCGTGACGTGGCTTTTACGGGTGAAGCTTATCTATGCGAAATTTCTCGAATTTTGTGCCAAAGTCTTCTAAAATTCATAACTTTCGCATACGAGCTCCGTTTTTGACGTTCTTTATATGCACGCGTAGGTAAAATTACGCTCTACAACTTTCGTTTAGACTTCGTCGGCTAATTTTGACTATAATTTTTATATTATTATTTTTAACAGACCGGGACAGGAAATCCGTTAAAAATTCATAACTTCTTCATCCGACGTCCGTTTTCGTCTGTCTTTTTACCGTTGTACTACTATTTACGAGACCTTCGATTCTCGTTTAGGTCGTGTCGGCTAAAAATCACTTAATCTAAAATTCGAGTTTTTAGCTGTCTACTGCTAAGCTGGAACTTGGAAAAATCATAACTTCCTCACACGAAGTCAGATTTGGACGTTCTTTTTATACATACTCTCGGTTTAACGAACACTACGACTTTCGTTTAGATCACTAAGGCTAAAAAGTAGTTTATCAAAAACTTAATTTTTACGACATTCGGCACCGTGCCGGTTTTGTCGCGAAACTTCGACAGGTCATAACTTCTTCGTTATAACTCAGATTTTGGCATTCTTTATATATCCGTAACCCTTGTCACGAACACATTTCTTAATAAATATCGGCTTTATCTAATATTTATTTTCGACGCTCATTTTTACTCTTAATTAATTAAATCCTAATAATTAAGCATAAAACACATAATAATCACATAATTCCTCTTCATGTCTTCAAAATGAGTTACAAAAGTTAACCTAGACTATTATGTCAACATTAATGCCTAGCCTAGAAACACGGGCGTTACATGCCCTGGATTTCTTGGACCTTTCAGGATTTTCGCCATGGTGGGAAAGGTTGCTTATTGTTTGGATTTACCCGCGGAGCTTAGTCAGATTCACACTACATTTCATGTCTCTCTGTTGCGGAAGTTTTTGGCTGATAACACCACAATAGTTTCCTTGGATGACATTCAGGTTGATGAGCGCCTGAACTTTGTGGAGAGATCGGTTACAGTCTTAGACAGAAAGACAAGGACCATGCCACTTGTATGAAAGACCATGCGAGGATAATGATACTTATATGAAAGACCATGGGAGGACCATGACATCTGTACAGAAGACTGTGGGAGGGCCATCATAATGAGGGCTGCAGGAGGACTACAATAATGAATGATTATAAGACTGTGGGATGACCACAACATTCATAGATTATATATGTTATGTATGATATGTGGTATTTTGGGGAACTCACTCAGCTTTGTGCATATGGTTTTATGTTTAAATGTTTCAGGTACTTCTGGTTCAAAGGAAAAGGTTTGACGAGATTGCATCGCTTCCACCGAAGATTCTACACTTATGATTTTATTATCACATTGATGTTATTTTTAAACACCTGTAATACTCTGATTATCCTTTGGAAGTAATGAAAGAAAGATTCTGTTCATTTTAATGAAAATTTTACCTTGTATTTTGGGACATTACATGAATGTTGTTAGATGTTAGCCATTTTCTGTTAGAGTTAAAAATGACTATTACGTCCTTATTGATTTTTATCTATTTATGAAAACATAAAAAATCAAAATATTAGAATAGACAAAAATGTCCTTACTGATAAGTTAAAAGTAAGTGGTTCCTAGGGTTTCTAACCTTTAGTGGTTCTCATTTGATCCAAATTTTACATATAGATCCAATTTAGATTTTAGGGTTTCTCTAATGCCTCCTTCACCATGTGGTGATGTAAGAGTTTGGGGCGGTGTTCCTATACCCACAGTGCTACCAGGTGAGCCCCAGGCACCCCGCGAGAAGGTTTATCTTTTGGTATTATGTATTTTTTATTTTTTTGGAATAATAAAAGATTTAATTAAGAATAAAGAATTAAGTAGAGAGAAGCTAGGATTACAAAAGATTTAAATATTTGGAAATAATTATGTGATAATTAGTAATAAAAAAGCAAATATTATATCAACACTTTGACTTTTTTTATTTTTATTTTTTGTGTGTGTATTATAGAACATCCACGAAAAGATGGTTGAGTTGTTTGAAGAAAGCATGTAATGGGTACCAGTCACGCCTTAATGCTTTTTATTATGGTTGAAATCTTGATAGGAGAAGAATTAGGGATTAATAATATGAATCCCAAATAAGAAGAAAGAAACACCTGGCGACTAATTGCATGAATAAAATAGAAAAGAAAGAAGGAATTTGATCGTAAAAATTTTCTATGTAATGAAATTTTTTCTATCAATTAATCTCATGGACCAAAATCATTTTCTTCATGATCTATTAACTCCCATGAACCATCCTCCTGTTGAACCATACAATTGTTCTTCTCACACCACCAAGAGACAAGCACGCCGTATTCTTCCTTCAGTGCATCCAAATGCTTGTTTACAAGTGAAATATCACGCCTAACTTCTAGCTTAAACCCTCCTTTACTGCCTTGTGTCCCTGCAACTCCATGCATATAAGCCTCCAAGCTATGCCAACTTGACAAATTCCCGGGACTCTTCAAGTACTCAGACTTGGTTGTATCAATTTCCATTTCAATCCCAACATCTGAATACCCTATCAAAGGGTAGTTTGGAACCACGTCTGATGCATTGCAAATGCGTAGAGCATGAAGATCTTTTTGTGAACTGAAAACTTTCTTAAAATTCGAATCTCCCACACGAGGGCTAGCAAACACAAAGGTGGTCACCGGGCATGCCTTGTTTGGCATATCTTTCGGCTTGTTGAATCCATTCAAAACTATGTCAATCGCATTTAGTGTTGCGATTGCTGAACCCAAACTATGTCCGGTTATGGTCAAGCTAATATCCTCGTTCTTGTATTGTTCCACTAGTCTCTTCACCTCCGCAAGTACCTAACGATTTTTATACCATATTAAAAAACAAATCTTTAATCATCCAATATTCAAAATAATTTCCCATTGAAACATTAAATACACATTAAAAATTATGAGTAAATTACACGGATAGTCCGGATGGTTTGGATTAACTTGCATGTTTGGTCCCTAACTCTGTATTTTTTTAACTTCGATGATCCATGTGGTTTGGTCTTGTCTCGGATTTGGTCTCGGATCACGCCAAAAAGACTATCCCTCAAGCGCCACCATCCCCACCCCACCCCATTCCCCCATCGTTTCAGAGGTCACCACTTAGCTTGTCGGAGAATCCCATTTCCTCATCGGAAATCATTTGTCACCCATTATCCTCTACTACCAAGAACACATATTTATAAAAACATGTGTTTTAGCAGTAAACATGCAATATGAATCTCAAAATGCATGAAACTAGAGAAACACATATTAAGAATGAAGATGTATTCAAGATATTTCAATTTTTAAAAAAATATGAATTTCAAACAAAAATCTTGTTACACAATCAAAAAAAGTGTTCAAAAACTAAAAAATAATAATCCCGAAGAAATTTTCATCCTCATAATTCCAAATCGAACCCCCATTGAAAAGGAAGATTGATTCAAGAAACTTAAGCTACACCCAAACCCAAACCGAGATATAAAGATACAAAACAAAATGGATCCAAACCTAATTTAAAAACAAAATAGATCCAAACCAAAATTGAACCAGTTGCAAAATCAATTTTGGATCTGTTTACTGATTTTCTTTCACATAAAAACTTTTATTTTAGAAGGGCCTTTCATATCAAAACGTAAATATTAGTTTTTGTGGGTTCCTCAAAGCTAGAATAGAAGAGAGGGTTATCACTGCGGACAGAGTGGAGAGAGGCGGAGTAGAACGGCGGTGGCAGAGGGCGATGGGGGAAGGAATAACGGAGTGGGTGAGGGGTGGTGGTTGAAGTTGTGGTTATTATGCTGGCGGTAGAAGGTGGCTCAGTCATTTTTCCGGCACCGGTGGCTGCGATGTGGGTGGCAGAAAGTGGGTTGGTCGATCATCGGGCAATGCAACAATGGGAGAGACGGTGAGAGTTAGTGGGGAGTTTCATAAGGCTCTCCGACTGGGGTGTGGGAGAAGTATGTGAGGTGAGCCATATATTAAAATAATATTATTACAATTCAAAACAAATATTAAAAATTAGATTTTAAACAACTGACAAGGCGTGGGGCGGGGACAAAAAGCGAAACCATAGAAATGTTGCGAGTTAAAAAAAAAAAAAAAGGAACCAAAACGTAGACTACCTAAACCATAGGAACTACTTGTGTAATTTACTCAAAAATTATGTTATGTGAGGATTATACATACGCACCTGATCTCTAGCATTAGTTTTATTGTAAGGTGACCTTGGATCATCAGTAGTATAGACTGAGTACCAACCTTGATGTATTTTTGGATCAACAGCATTGTTTTCTCCAAAAATTATTGGAGCGGAAACCAACGTGAAATCAAGATCATTAACCCACTCCATGGTCTGAATAGTTCCTCTCCAAGCAATCAGAATGTCTCTCCTCCCTAACACCACCTTCCCCTCATCTGTAGCAACTGCTACAAACCCCATCCAGTTCGATTCCTTACACCATGCCTCCCTCGACAATGACTTGAAAATGAATGCATCAGGAAGAGGTATAGAAGACGTGGCATATAAGTATTTAGTTATATGATACTTGTTCAATGGGCGTCCTTGACTAATTCCTACCCTTGACAACAGATTGGTTCTTGCATAGCGACAACTTCCAGCATACTTTGATAGTTTAACAGAGTTGAAAGCATCGTAAGTGGCTTGAGCCATTTCGCCATAGTGGATGATATAATTACGGAGATCTTGTCCAGGAGGATCTAATAAACCCTTCCAATTGGTTTCTCCGCTAAGAGTTTTCCAGTTTTTGGAGATGTTATCCATGTCTTCGAGGACATGAGTATTTTTCCCGTGTTTTTTCTTAGTGTGAAAGAAACTCTTCATTTGATTTTTTTTAGGGCTACAATGGAATGGAGTACTAAAGCAAACATTACTTATAGATGAAAGTCCTTCAGTGAAGTCTAAGTCATATAAATCGTATGGAAAACGCCATTTGCTCATTATAAAGCAACAACACTTGCAAAAAAATGGCACATAAATACCTTTCACGCAAAAAAAAGGTTCAAATTTATCTGAATATTTTCAATATAATGCCGAAAATTTTACTTTATTACCGATGTGTAGAATATACCTATAGTATCAAAGTTCACCGAAGAGATAAAATCAGTACACTAGGAAAACGCATTAGTATTATTGGAATGTAAAGAAGTGGCTAATTAATTTAAGTTCTACGTACCTTCTAAGGAATCAGTTTTGCCAAATCTTCTTATTAGATTGGAGTGTGGGTGATTAATTATATTTTGTAGTTATTCATATATATAGTGAGATTGCTGGATAGTGGGACGATTCCGTAAGCATGCAGTAAGCGGATGCTTCAGCGTATAATTTATATCCTTCGTTTATGGAAATAAAAATCTAGCAAGGACAAATTTTCATGATAAAATTTCTTTATTTTTCAAATAACCTATCCTCACGCAACTAGTCGCATTTCATAATCAAATGTAACTAGAAAGATTTAGAAAAGTTTATTGCCATAGTATTAAAAAGAACACCGATCTCAACTTTTCAAAGTTAAATTTGGTTATTATAAATTAGTGACAAACAAAAAAGTTTTGTCCAACTTAAAAATGAGAAATTAAGTTTAAAAGAAAAGAAAATAAATAAAAGCCAAAATATAAGGACTATCACTACAAGAAATATGAGTTATAGTGGCGACACCACCAACAACAGCAACTCCAAACTGGACGATCTTGGAATCATTGCTATTGTTGGTGTCGACGCTAAAGCACCATGACTAAAGCTCAACAGCTCATCATCCCGATCTGTATTCTTGATTTCTGACCCATATTCTTCATTTCTAATTAATTCTAGCCATTGGTACCATTGATCGATCTAGTGGCTATGTTTGGTTCTTGTTCGGCAAAGACAATAGCAGCGATAGGTTGTCACAACTATTACTCCCTTGAAAAAGACCTGTGAGATTATCCATCCAGTACATTGGGAGTGGCCACTAATAGTTGTCGCCACTAAAACTTGTCACTATTATTGTGACTTAATTGTAGCCATGAATGACCTAGCCCTTCTCTCTCCAACTAATGACGAAATCAAGCAATACACCACCACCGACGACTTGCACTGAAGTCAAGTCCATCGACCACCACCTCCTCCAGTCTCATCCTCTTTGCTGTCGAAAAAGGATACCTTTCTTCTCTCCGTTTTTCTGTGAATGCTAAACTGAGTGCGTGAACATGGTTTGTTACCTGCTTACTAGATACCTGAGAATACAAGTCGTTTTGAAAAGCGTCAACTAAAAAGTTGGTGAGTTCATAAGCAGTTTTGTTTATAAAATCGTTTACACTTGTTTAGAATCGTTCTTGTTGTACTTTCAGAAAATCCGATATTTTCTATGAAATCGTTTGAAGTCTTTGCCTTGAAAATCATGATATGTGGGATGCATGACATTACTTTTGTTCATCCTTATAAGGAGTGATTTTGAAAAGTAGTGTGATTTGTAAAAACGAGCTGTGTCCGAGAATAGTTCTTTTGGATAGTAACAATCAACCGTTTCAAGAAAAATCCCTTATTTTCAAAAAGGAAATATGGTTGAAAATCTTGTTCTTCTTATCGAGTAAAATTGAGTGTGTGCTTTCTAGTTATGTATCGAAATCGGAGAAAAAAAAAAATCGTTTTCCTTCCCCCAGAAAATCCTATATTTTCTCTGCTATAAATAATCGTAAGTCTAGTTTTAATCCTTATCGAAATCGTAGAAAAATCGTTTTCCCCAGAAAATCCTATATTTTCTGCTATAAAATAATCGTAAGTTCTAGTTTCCAACTATGTATAATGTGTGGGTTAGTTTATCGTTATCAAAATCGTTTACAAACGTTTCCATAGAGTCCTACGCTTGTTTAATTTGTAAAAATAGCAGTAAGTACGACTCTATACTTGTAGGAGAAAGAATCAACATGACTATTGTGGACATTCTAACGCGATGAAAGAGGACAGTCAACACAACAAATGCGGACCATCACCTATCACGTGTAGGACAGTCAACACAATGTGCAAAGTTTTTTTATTTATGAGGTTTTCCTTACATAAATTTCAGTTAATATAACATATTCTAGTGGAGTCGTTATAACCATAGTAATATGATGAAGTGCCTGTTTTGGCGTTTCTTAGGCGCCCTCGGTTTGGATAAGACATTTGTCACCCTAGACTGGCCTGCCTAGCTGTAGCGAACAGCGAAGGTGCAGGGTGTCAACCCCGTATAGATTTATACACAAATTCCCGCTCTCCCTCCAGGAGACTCTGACTATAACTCCTTACAGGACTTAGACGTACACTAATATTTTTATATTTAGGTACTTTTGAGATTTGTCTGACTAGAATATTAACAACCTTTGAGCAATCGTTAGAGATCCATTATTTGTTAGATAAATAATGAAACTCGTACTCATTGAATAGAAGTATCGTTCTCGTTCCATATCGTTGATTGTGCTCGTTAACTAGGTGCTCGTGTTTGTTCCTTTTCGTTTATTGAAAAATAAGTCATTTTAGTCAAGAGAGAAAAAGTGTCAAGTTATAATTTGTATAAATTTATAACTGCCGGTTATGACACACATTTTCTGTTTTATGACATATAGAACATTACTTATGTTCTTGGAGGTTTTATGATAGCAGTTCATGACATGCGAATCTTTCTGTCATAAAGGCTCTATTTGTGTATTTTCTTGACGCAAACTTTTATATTGAATATTTATAAAATACCCCCTGACAGTTTGCAAAATAGTCACAAAGTTTTCATTTTCGAAAATTTATTAGAAATGGTGTCCACTTATCAAGATCCCTATTATAACTTTTATCTTTAGACATGAAAGCATAGATAAAGGGGTTAAGTTGGACACATCCAATAGTTGGGAGGCTCTTTTGTACAAAGTATCCTCTTTCTTTAGGAAATTGAGAATTCTTACGTTCATGAGTAGATTACTAAAATATTAATTTAATAAATTTCACACACCATACAAACATACGTATATATGCAATTATTCACTATTTAGGCAAGATTTGACTTGTACTCTCCCCCAAAAACATTAAAATATTGAAAAGGTGGGGTATGAAGCTCACCTTGAGTTGGTTGAGGAGTTGTTTGGAGTTATGGAGTGAAGATCTCAAGCTTAAGCTCTTGCTGAGATGGGGAACTTCCCTGGGAGGGATGTTTTCCTATGGATGATCTTCTCATATTATTATGAATAAAATAATATGGATTCATCTTGAAATATTATAAAAAATTGGATGAGTGGGGGAATTTACCTTAAAATTTCCCAGAAGAAGTTGAGAAAATTCCTTTCAGCAAGATCCCCTGTTCTTGCTTGAAGATGAGCTTTTGAGTGAAAATGGGAAAAATGAGAGAGGATGTGGAGTCTAAACTCCCTCACTGTCATTGCTTTGGAGTATAAGGAAAAGGAAAGGAATCTTTGATGCATGGGGATCTGGTGGTCCATGCATGGATATTTGGTGGTAAAGCCATGGAATACTGTGATTTGCATGGGAAATGAGGAATTTCATCAAATCACAAAGTCAATCCTTTGTCCTTTTCTTGATTTAGGATAAGGTTTTCCTAAATCCCAAACATTATTTTTTATGAAAAATATGCTTAAAATAATTAATTTTAGCATAAAATAATGGGTTTTAGGGGTCTCAGTTAAGAAAAACACTAGTATGGTGGGATTCCCGACCTCAAATATCTAAAATGATAAAAAGGTCCGGAATAGTCCAAAATCCGGGGCTAAATAGTGAATTCCGGAACTCTAGGGCAATTTCTCCGAAGCCGTGTATTACAATTTCCGGAGGTACTGAGCGAGTTCCGAAGCTCTTCTCCAAATTCCGGAATCCACGGAACTTCCGGACTTCCGCACTTTTCTCGGATTTCCGAATCTTCTTCTGATCATTTCGGAGCGAAGCCAGCAGTCCGGACCGAGGGTTCCGAAGTCAGCTGACCTTTCCGAAGCGACCATAGGCGAGATTGTCCGGAGTCAGGAGTTCCGAGATTGCGAGATGGTCCGGATGAGAGGCTTCCGTGGTGCAACTCCTCTTGGTTTCCTTAGAAGATATTCCAGACTAAGAGGTTCCGGACCAGGAGGGTTCCAGACTAAGAGGGTTCCGGCCAAGAGGGTTCCGGACCAAGAGGTTCAGGACCAAGAGGAGTCCGGACCAAGAGGGTTCCGGACCAAGAGGGTTCCGGACCAAGAGGTTCCGGGCCAAGAGGTTCCGGACCAAAAGGGTCCTTTTTTGGGGTTCCTCTTCCGGTTTTTGAGCTGTTCTCGACTAAGGAAGGCATTTAGTGAGATTTGAGAGAGATTTGAGATACGTGGAGAGATTTGGGAGAGATTTCACATACTTGGAGAGATTTGGGAGAGATTTCACATGCTTGGAGAGCTTTGGGAGAGATTTCACATGCTTGGAGAGATTTGGGATAGATTCACTACTCTTGGAGAGATTTCGCATACTTAGAGAGATTTCGGAGAGATTCACTGTTCTTGGAGAGATTTCGCATACTTAGGGAGATTTGGGAGAGATTTCACATACTTGGAGAGATTTGGGAGAGATTCACTATACTTGGAAAGATTTGGGAGAGATTCACTATACTTGGAGAGATTTGCATTCTAACACTTTTTGGCTCCTTAGGAACTCATATTGAACACTTAGGAGTGTTAGCACAATCTCACAATAGTCCTTACTTACCTGAGGACGGAATTTCCTAGCCAAAAGTGCTAGTTGAGACATCATCCCCTGGTTAGAGGGAATTTCGTCCCGAAATTCTTTCGAAGGGTAGGGTTATGAATGCGAAAATAGGTGAGGGTACTATTGATTTATTTGGTCCTCACGTTCCCAAGTGA